AGCGATTGCAGCGTTGCGAATCGCGCTCTCAGATCGCTTGTCTTCACAAAATTTGATTGGTTCTTGACTCTGGTGCCAATAAATTCCCACAAAGCTTTTTAGTAATCACTTAGTGAAAACGTTAGCTAACGGCAGTGTGTAGCATACTCTCCTCTCATTGGTCAGTCAATGAAACCCTCRCTGATTGGTTGTACGCTAAGCGACAGTGACAAAAATTGAACATTTTTCAACTTTCATATGTCGCGTCACAAGCTCGCGTGTGCACATGTACGTGTACGTGCGCGAAATTTCACATGCACTATTTTTGCCGGTCACTTAGCTGGAGGAGGGCAAGTGATTGTCGCCTCACCGCACAGGCTCCATAGGAAATGAATGGAGAGCGAGCGACGTCGCCTCCCGTGTGTCGAGCCCTTTAACAGTTAAGCTTGTCCTGGTGTGTTCTGGTCTAAAATACTTTTTTTTGTTGTTTTAAGAAACTTAGCTAAGTTGTTTAGCGCCTCCATTTCTTTTAATGCTGCTCGCATCGTATCCGTCAGTCTACACCAAACCACGCCCACATACACTCACACTGGAGGCACGTATTTGTACGTCCACCCTAAATGGCTGAATCCTGTAGCTTGGGCTGATCCTGGGCTGAACAGAATTAGCCCCAATGAGCTGCAAACCGAGGGGGCGTGGCGAGACGCCTGTCAATCATTCTGAACCAGGACACACATTACATGAAAATGGGCTGTGAATAGTTAGCCATGCAGAACGACTGGGATCTTCCCAGGTGGTTTGGCACCAGTTTTCCTTGTAAATTTCACAAAATGATACATCATTTTTAAATTTTCTTTATTTTTAAGTTGTTATTTATAAATTGTATATAATTATATTATTATAATATTGTTTATTTTAACATTTTTTTTGTGAACACCAGGGAGGGCTTAGCCCTACTCGCCCACTTATACCAGCCGTCACTGCATGTGCCCCTGGTTGGGAGTCACTGTCCTACATCAAGCATCCTTACGGCTCTCAGCCTGCTTCCTGTACAGACTTCCCCCTCACCTTCTCCCTCCGTACCTGCCCAGGCTGTGGCTGCAGCTGCCCTGGTGCCGGCCTCWGTCGGACCACGGAGGAGCAGGAAGAGGAAATGAAGGACGGGTTTGTTGCGTGAAGGTCACCCAGGATCGTGGCTCTGCAGAGGTCCAGGAGACGAGCCGGGGAGGATGAGGAGGACAGAGCGGAGCTTTGGCAGGACTAATGAAACTCAGCGCTCCATGTTAATGATCTAAAAGACTGCAGCAAAACACTCAGCGCTCCCTTTGCGCTCACGTTCCACCCCCTCTTCATCGCTCCTTCCAAATAATGACGAGGCACTCGGCCGCTCTGCCTCCATTGTGCGTTTTGATGTGGGCCTTGTCGTCCCCCTCCACGCTTTTCAGTCCTTTCTGCTCCACGCCTGTCACTCATCTGTTAGGCCAACAAATGGAAGAAGGAAAACATTCAGACAGAGGATTGTGCTGCACCCTCTGCTTTGTTATTTATGTCTTTTCAAAGCACTTGAACTTGGAATTTTCTTGGGGCTGCCAGCAGCAGGGAGGCTTTTTTTTTTTTTTTTGTCTGAGCTGTTGTTCCAGGATTACAAACATTCTTGTTTTCTAATCCTCATGTCCATACAGCTGGAGTTTAGTGTCTTTTCTCTGTGGGTTTTATGTTGCCTTACATTTACAATAACTGACACAAGGTTTGTTGTTAAACCTTTGTGGCTTAAAGTCATTCAGGGGTTTTAATCTTGGCTTTTATAACTGAGTTCATTAGTTGTGTTTTCATTGTTGTAACTTGTAAAATCTGTACTTTGATTGTTAGATAATGATCACATGACCTGTTAGCATGATGTCACACCGCTTTTTATAGTTATATATTTATATGTAATAAATTTGATCCTAGAAAACATATTTTATTTGTAAAAAACAGAAAAGAAATTCAAATACATTTCGTATGAGTTTTGAAAAAAATACTGTATTTTTTATGTTTTAGTTTAGAATTGAACTTTTTTTCAAGATATTAGTTTTAATTCTGATATGTGATTTATTGTAGGTTTTAAGAAAACTGTTTTGATTTACTTTGCTTTTTATTATTCTTTATGAAAAGAAAAAAAATATCATGTTGGGCCTTGAGTTTTAAAAAACTTTTCTTGTTTAATTAAAAGAAAACCCTGCACACATTTAAAAGTGCAAAATCAAATATATATTTTTATATTTGTATCTTATTAATAAAATCTCTAAACAGCAGCATGAGGTTATARATGGTACTGAGTTTGTTTGTTTGCTTAAGAAACAGTTTGGGAGCTTAAAAATGTATAATATCTATCGGTTTCTCTCTTTACTGTTATTATATTTCTCTTCTACTTTTTCTTTTTCTTTCTTACTATAGTATTATAAAAAAAGCCTCTGATGATGCAGAAATTAAGAAACTAACATTCAGTTTTGTTTTCTACTGAAGTGGCAAAAAAAGAAGGTATTTTTAATCTGAAAAGAGCTTCACTGAGTGAGAACTAATGTTGAGAGCTCAGCAGTCAGTTTCAGTTTTGCTTTGTTACTGCCAAGAGCCTGCAGGGGTCATGGGCGGGGTGTGTGGGGAG